GGCGTCCTTCCTGCCTCCCCGTCGCTAAACCGCCCGGGTGCCCCGCTGTGCCAGGGGATGGGGCTGTGGCCGTTCGCCTCGGCCCACTGTTGTTCTGTCCCTTGCAGGCTCTCGCGATGGCTGAGGGCTTGAGAGCTGCGGTTGCCAGCCAGACGAAGAGACTGAGCAGCAGCGGTGAGGTGGCTGAAAGGCTAGAAGAAAATGGACACCAAAATAAAAGGTTGAAGAGAGATGCGGATGAGGAAGGTGTGGAGGATCAGAATAAAAAGTCACCCAAAAGGAAGATTGTGTTGTTGATGGCATACTCAGGGAAAGGCTACCATGGGATGCAAGTATGTGGTTTGGCAAGGCAACGTGGCCTGCTTTTTGTTTGAAGTCTGTTGGCTTTATAACTGTAGTCATAATGACTGAGTAGGGAAGAGTTGCAGCTTGAAAAGCTGGGGTAGGAACAGTGCATGCCTGGATGCAAATGGCTTGGTAGTAACTTGAATAAAAAGAGTCAGCAGTACATCTCTGATATTTGGTGACTGTAATGAGTCTGCCTTTAATATAGAGCATCAGCAGAAGATCGTTCAAAAACTGCTGTAGATGAGGCTCTTGAGGCTGAAAGCACAGGCACTGCAGTTCTGTCGGAACCTGAAGTGCTGTCTAGTGATCCCCTCCTGACCAGCGCTGCAGCTTCTGCTTGAAGCTTTACATAGGTTTCTTCTAGGTTAGACCTCAGGTTGTCTCATCACATGCAGATTCCAGAGAACTGAGCTGCATATTTGAATGAAACCAATTTGCATCTATGTTGCTGTCTTTTCTACTTTTAAAAAGACTATCTGTACTTGAAGATATTTTAAAATCTTCTTTTTCTGATGCACTCTGATGCACTACTGGCTTGTAGCAGTTTAGAAACAGGAAAACTGTTGCAAGACTTCTGTTTGCGTGTGAAGAAAAGGGATGTTGCTTTGTTATAGCATCAGCATTCGAGCAGTGCCCCAGCACCAAACCTGCCCGTGCAGGGATGGTCTTGTGGCACACGGTGTTGGCAGCAAGAGGGTAATTTTGCTCCATCTGCTGCTCCTCTCTGTGTACTGCAAGCTCCATAACACGATCTTGAGGCGTACTTTAAAAGCTCCATGGCATAATTGATAAAATCGCACACAGACAGGGAAGGGAGTCTTTCATGCTTATGCAGCAAAACAGACTTGTTCAACAGCAGCAAACCTTATGCTTATGGGCACAGCCATCTAAGTGCCTATCTGCTTTACTGCTCTCGTAATTGCATGGTATGTGTCGAGGGTGTGTGCTTCGCAGCCTTACACACGAGTGAGTTGTGCATTTTTGTTGCAGTTCGTCTGTGAGTCGAGTGCAGAAGTCACTGGAGAGAACAACAGTCTGTGTTACACAACAGCTAAGGCAACCTGAGCAAAAGAACCCAATGTAATTTCTAGAAGCAGAACTTGCAGAGTCTAGGCTTGGAGCAGCAGCTGTTAACTTGCAGGCACTGGAACAGTATTGCATTGGTGCCAGTTTCATGCAGTTGAATGAATCATCAAAAAAACCTCCATTGCAGAAGTATTGCACAGTGAAATTAGAAATGATCCTTTACTTGCAATAATAGTAACAGGTAAATCAAAATGTTTTATTAACGCTCTCTGGTATAGTTAGTTTTGTCAGAGAATGGCAGCTCTTCTAAGGCTGCGAAGGGAAGAATTTTAAAGAATTTCATAACAAAATTTTTCAGGTATGATCTTCCATTATCCAATTATTACTATTTGTTCCATTTCTTATATTTGCTATCTATCCTCTTGTAGAGAAACATAGGATCATCACAGTTCAAGACAATTGAAGATGACTTGGTATCTGCCCTTGTTCAGTCAGGCTGCATCCCAGAAAACCATGGGGAAGATATGAAGAAAATGTCTTTTCAGCGGTGTGCTCGAACAGATAAGGTAAGTTGGTGAGGGCCTGTGCTCTCATAACTTTGGTGTACCCCCGTCACCGCTACTGGGATTGACTGGCAGAGCATTGCCCAGAGTGAGATCCAATAGCAAATACTGTAGGCAGTGAACATTGTTTGAAACTTCTCCCTTCATCCACACTAAACTTAAGCACAAGCAAATATTCAGAAAACACAGGATGTTGATTAGATGGTGTTTGTAAAGTGGTGCTTCATACCTAAACTTTGTCTGTTTGCATTTCTGTCACATTCATCTGCTTCAGCCTCACAGCCTGCTGCTGCTCCTCGTTGTTGTTGCTGCCTGGTTGCTGTGGAGCTTGAGAGTTTAGCTGCATCTCAGTTGTTTTTAAGCCTGCCACAGCAGGCTAATAGCAGTCCAATACAGTGAGACGTCATGGAAGGGAGTGCAATGTTCTGCTATCTAAGATTGCTAAGGTGCTGTAGCTATACAGCACCAGTAGGTCTTCCAGGAGTACTCCTGACTTGGATTTCTGCCTGTGGCCTTGCCTTTGCCTCGCTTCAGCCTGAAATGACCAGTGAGAAAAAGGAATAAACTTGTTCTTCAGCTATTTCAATTCTGCAAGTGCTATCTCAGAGCTTCCAAGGTACATAATTATGTGCGTGTGTGTTTATGGTTTTTATAGGGTGTGTCTGCAGCTGGCCAGATTGTCTCACTAAAGGTCAGGCTAATAGATGACATCTTAGAAAAGATCAATAACCATCTTCCTTCTCACATCAGAATTCTGGGTAAGGATACTGGAATGGGCAGAGAAAATGTTTTCAAAGAGGAGCTTTCTCACATAGAAGGTCTCTCTCTTACCATTATAATTTTACTCATAAGTGGTTTAGTTTTAACATGAATCCATATGTTTCCGTTAGTTTGAGATTAGGGTCCTATAAAATAAATCTGTCATTCGACTGTATCTTAAAAATATGGTTGTTTGTGGGAGCGAGATCACAGTCAGGTTGTAACCTACTGATTCAAAACCCTAATGTCACTTTTAAAACAAGGTCTGAAGAGAGTCACTGGGGGATTCAACTCCAAGAACAAATGTGATGCCAGGACCTACTCTTACATGCTGCCAACATTTGCCTTTGCCCATAAAGACCATGCTGTGCAAGAAGAGGTTTATCGACTGGACAGAGACACCCTTGAAAAAGTCAATAAACTGCTTGGGTGCTATAAAGGAACACACAACTTCCACAACTTCACATCTCAGAAGGGACCCAGGGACCCCAGTGCCAAGCGGTACATAATGGAGATGTACTGTGGAGAGCCGTTCATGAGGGAAAACATAGAATTTGCCGTGATCAAAGTGAAAGGTCAGAGTTTCATGATGCACCAAATAAGGAAGATGATTGGGCTGGTGATAGCTATTGTGAAAGGTTATGCTGCTGAGTCTATCATAGAGCGCAGCTGGGGAGAGGAGAAAGTAGATGTCCCCAAAGCCCCAGGACTTGGGCTGGTCTTGGAAAGAGTACACTTTGAAAAATACAACAGACGTTTTGGAAATGATGGGCTGCATGAGCCGCTGGAGTGGACAGAGGAGGAGGAGAAGATTGCTGTTTTCAAAGAGCAATATATCTATCCTACCATTATCAACACAGAAAGGGAGGAGAAATCCATGGTGAACTGGCTAAATACCCTCTCCATTCATGACTTCGAATCTTCTGCTGTTGGGATGCAAGCTAACAACAAAAATTCAAAGGTAATCATTGAAGCCATTATTTTATCAAATGGAAGCTGTCAAGTTGAGTAACGTTTTTGTTGTCCATCAATATGTCATGGAAGATGACAGTCATCTGGAGTATGAAATGTGTATTATCTTTTCAGTCTTTGTGCCCTTGATAGTGGAACAAACTATACAAAGTGTTATTTTTGTGGGGTTTTGCATGGGGCAGTTGAGGGAGGGAGGGAGGAAGGAAGGAAGGAAGGAATGCTTTAAAGCACAGGTCAAGTTGCAGAATCATAAATTGGCAACACACATTATGGACACACTACCATCCTTTGCTATTTGTGAAGCTGTTCGAGAGACTAGTTTTCAGGTTGACAGCTCCCCTTTAAATACCTGCTGGATTTTTGTATTCTCTGATTTTGGGCAAATTCTCACTTTTGTGTAATGTCCTGTTCACTAGATAGGGTTTGGAATCGGGGACATTTAGGACCAGCTTTTTTAAGTAAATCTGCAGTGAGCTCAAAATGGGTCATCAGAACAGCTCCTGCTGAGTAAAATGGGATATTACGGAATCCAATTTCTGACAACAGGAACTGCTGACAGCTGTAAGTTGCAGTAAAACAAAGGTGTAGAATACATTTTTAACCAAAAGAAAATTACACTTTAAGCTAAAGAGTGGTTTTTCTGTTTGAGGTGTAGAATAGGCTCACAAGAAAAGAGGGGGAAGATGCTTAGGGCATGCTGGAAGTAGGTTGGAAACCACATGAGGAATGTTGAGCCAAACTCACAAAGTATTTCTTTAAATTGACAGCCACTGGACTGACTGAAAATACAACAGTGCTTAATTGGGCAAATCCCTGATTAACCCAATATAACTTTGAAGCAAGCCTTGCTTGAGTCGGGGGTTGGAGTCAATGACCTGAAGAAACCTTACAGTTCTGTATGTAATTGAAATTTTCTTGGTCAGAGGGCTGGCAAATCCTTGAAGGACAGATGATGGGCAGGGCTAAAACTTCTGTGTAGTGCAACTCAGAAGAAAAGAATGGGCTTTTTTCACTTAATGAAATCTTCAGAAATTAGCTTTATTTTGTGTAGATAATGATCCTGCTCTGAAGAATGTTAGGTTTAATCCTGTCTCTGCCATTTGAGGAGGAGCTTCAACATGCAAAATTTACAGCCTCTTTGAACAGTACAAGCAAGATACCAGAAATTTCTCAGGGTTATTTTTGGACTTGTCGTAATTGTTTTTCTGAAGTATAGTGCTGTATGAGGACATTTCTGACAGGAGGCTATGACAAATGCCGCATTAGTTTGGTTAAATGGGACTTAAAGAGCCCATGTGGTGCAGAGAGTCCTTACCTGGCTCAGGGTCTTGACGATAATGTTGACAAGACTTACTGCTGACGGGTTCAAAATCACTGATGTATTGCTAGCGGGAGGCGGGTCTGCTGGCTTTAGATAAACTCAAGCAAATACAGTTTTGGCATCATAGTTAGCACAAGCTGTCTGGAGAAGGATAAATAAGGGATGATATGACAGACTCCTTTGAGATTTTGCAGGCTGTTTGTACTTCAGTGAGCTGTGCTTGCTGTTATGAAGGCAACTGTCTAAGTCTCTCAGAATTTGTTTTGAAGTAGGATGTTAAATTGTCAATGTTAAATTCATGGGGTTTGGGGGTTTGTATGTTTTCAGCAAGTGGTGGTGAGGAAAAAAAGGAGTAACTACAGGCATAGTGATATGTTAACCTTTCTTTATAAAATCCTTTGACGCCAATCATGTCAGTCAAAATACTTGCTTCAGAAAACTATGTAAACCCCCCCCAATTATCGCACCATATTGACTTACTCCTGAAGGAGTGACTCCCAGTTACAAACTCAGACTTCAGTTTCCTTCTAAGCTGCTGACATTTGTAGTATTTCCCTAATACTACTCTCTACAACTGCCTTCATTTTTAAACAAGTATTGGTGAGCCCTTGCATATGTCCAATACAGTTTGGACATAAAATCTGTGCAGCAAACAACAAAATTCTCAGATCTGGCTTTAGACGATGTAACAAACTTTTGAGGGACTTGCACAAGAAGAGCACTTGTTAACTTCTCACCTGCGTTTATTTTATATGTCAGCATTTCACACTACTACCCCACTTTAAGTTTCCCACATACTGCAAGTTGTCATCATGCAGTTGTAAGTATAAATGGGAAGACATTTCTTCTGCTGCTGAATGTCATCCAATGTACCATTTTTTTGCTACATGAAGCGTCATTTACCATCACAGAAGTTTGTTACAATAGATGGGTCTAAGACATAAGTTGGGATCTAGCACCATTTTCTTACTCTTTTGGACAAGTTTAAAGTCAATGTCTTTGATTTAGGTCAGTCTCTACATGTAAATGAAATACTGACAAACCATTTTCCATTTTACTTTACAGAACAGCAGCGATCTTGAAGGCAGTGATGGTTGTGATGATGATTCGGACTGAGCCAGTTAAGTGGCTGGACGTGGGACCCCTGCCGCTTGCAATTCCTTTTGTCTACAAAAAAGTGGCCTTTCTAAATCCAAGAATCCAGTAAAGTAGGGATTTGTGTGCCTGCAGAACAAGAACCGGATGCCCAGGAGAAACTGGGTGGGGAAGACAGTGCAGTAGAAAAAGTAAACGAGGCTTTTTATACCACTGACCGCTTCACCTGACTGATATACTTGAAAATAGTGTAACAAGAAAGAAGCTTTCTAGGAGAATCTTGTAATGCAGGATATCTTAATTGCCATTTGAATAATGTTTTTATTATATGTTTACCTGGAAAATAGTATTTTAAATATGTATAATCTCTACATAAAGATGGGGCAAATCATTTTAATAGACTCTTTTTATTATTATTATGAAGTTATGACTCCATGAACTTCTGATTTTTTTCATTATTATTTTCTTCACTTTTACTTAACCTGATCTCTAAACACCATTAAGCTTTTATTTTCCATGTCATCCGTGACTTTCCTGTGGAATAACATGCATGAGTTAGGAACCTGTTATCATGCTGACTGCTGTGAATTCTTTTGGTATTGAAACAAATTTTCTGTGTCTTTTAAAGCTTTGCAAATCTGAAAGAAATTATTCCTTACTCAGTGAGAGGTCTTAGTTTTGGAACATGGACTGAATGATGTATTTCAAGATGAGACCTTTCCTTTGGGAGATGTCATCCTCCCAGCATTGCCTGCCTGCTTCAGCAGACCCGAGAACAGATCTGCAGCTACATGTGTAATTGGTCCTCTGCTACCTGAGGTGTTGTTTCACAGACCTGTAGTTGAGACATGAGGAGAAGATGTAAATTAATTGTTAGGACTGCAATTCAAAGTGTGCAGCCATGGACGTTCTAGCATTGCCTGTGGTGGATCACTAAGTGTGCTGCTCCTGGTTTAGTATTTCTGGTTTTAGTGGAAACTGTCTAGCCGTCTGCTAGATTCGGGGTTGAATGAATTTAGCATGCATGAAAGGAACGGTGCTGACTGCCTCTGGGCTTTAATCAAGTCTGCCTTCACTTTGTGTGTATGAACTCTTAATTCCCATCAAGCTGCTCAGAACAGAGGAATGTATGCAATGATACAGGAAGCACATGTCTGAGGACTGTCTTCCCTTGGGAATTGATTTTGATTTTCTGTGTTTTGGGGATCTGCATACTCTGGAGTTCTTGCTCTCCTTTCCCCAACTGAGGTTTGTCTTCTGATTCTTGTTTCCAACTCTACTTGTTTGTTCTTCCACCACCTCCATGGAAAGGCACCCACCTTCCTGCCCTCCCAGCGTGTAGCACACTTCTGGAAGGGTGGAACAAGAGTCTCCAAGCATTCGGGTATGGGTATGAGTGCTTGACATGTGTCCCTAGCTGGGTCTGTATGGAGACTTACTTTGTAATATGGTAGTTACTGAATATGAGGAGTCAAGTCTTTGCTCCTTCGTTCAGTGGTTTCTGGCCAAAGCCTCCAATTTTATGGCTCCTTCTGGAATTTTTTTTTTTCCCAGAGCGTAGCTGTCCTTAAAATGAACAAGCAAATCCCTTTTTAATCTGGGTTTTCAATTAGTGCTTTTTATTTTATAGTGAAGGCCTTGCTCTGTTTTATCAGAGCGAGTGTGTAAAAAAAGTGCTGGAGAAGGGCTCTACCTAGATTTTCCTTGCTGGTCCTAATCTGCATTAGTCTTCTATCCAAAGCTCTATCTATGATCTGAGAAACACCTTTATTTGCTTGTAATAAAGGAAAACTGACATGTATCTCAGTTGAAATCAATTTATTTATAATCAATCTATTTATAGCCTTGGGAGAAAACTGAATAATAATAATAAAAAAGGGTATTTCTTACCTCTTGGTAATGATGCTGTTTTATTTCATAGGCATTAGTATTTCGGCTGTTTTCAGTGCAGGAGCTGAGTGAAAAAAAATAAGCAAATAAATAAACACAGAGGTAGTCTAAATTCTAAAACGGACCCTTCGGAAGTGCACTATGCTAAGCTGTGTTATGGGGAAGAAAATGAAGGCGCTGTGCTCGCCCCAAGGCTGCTGTCGTGGGGCAGAGGCCCGCCGGGCCGCAGGAGGCCTCCCCC